TTTCATAAACAATTTTGGTTGTTCTAATTTGTTATTTTCTTCATCTATTTGTGTAGTTAGTTGGGTTTTATCTATTTTTTTCTCTTCTGGGCCACTAATTTGAAGATTGCTCCTCTCTGGAGACACGCTGTGTATTCTTTCATTCATATTCTGGTATTTGAAGCCCCTACATGGTTTAGATTTCTTAGATGTAGGCATGATTGGAGGTACATCTATTACAAGGTCATCTTCATCAGAGTCTTGAAGATTTATTTGAATTTTAATTGGTGAAACATAAGGCCTTTGGTTCTCAGAGTTGTGGCAATTTTCGCTGGCAGATTTTTTCAAGCAGCAGAAGTTCTGTGTCTCAGTTTCATCCTGCCTTGCTTTGGTTGCCCCAAGCAGCCCTGTGGGATAACTGAGCGAGGGATCATGTTCAAAACTAGCTGCTGGACATCTGTGCTCCATTACATACTTTCTAGGCTGACTCTCTTTGTTCTGTGATGGCTCATTCCTCTTTCCCTTTGGGAGCAGGCTATTTTCAGGAAAATCTTGTCTCACATTTGCATCATTCAAGGATGCCATAGGGATTTTGGGGTAGTTCTTCAGGTGCTAATGTAGACTTGGAAAGCCCCTTCTGCTTTTCTTCAACCTTGGTCTCGACTTATTCAATTTCTTTGTTGATTCTTTCCAATTCTTCCTAGTTGCACCTAGTATTGTCAATAAAAGGTGAGTTTTATCTTTAAAAACCTCTTCTTAAGGTGAAATGGACACTCCAAAATATTCCAGACAAGTAGTTTAATGGTAAAAGGACATGAACTCTTTCAGACCTGGCCTTAAACATCAGAGTTTGTTTACTGATCAGTTCTTGGAAGGAGAATGAGAAGTCAATGACTCACTGTTTAAATCTTTTAAATGTTTAGCTCATTCTCATGACCAACTAAAGTACACTTGTGCCATTTTACTAGAATGACTATAAATTAGTGGGACATGCCAGGTTTATACATCATTATTAAACCATGACAAATGTGACACAATTCGTATATACAGTATCTTATTACTAATCAGCAACAGACAATTTTGGTAACAGTTCAAATAGCTGAATGCCACTTACAAAGAACTGTACATAGTCTCATCCACCAACACATCTCCTCTGTCATAAGAAAAAGTTATTTAAAGCACTAGTCTTTCCTTAATTTAGCTGGTCTCAACATTCTCACTAATGTCCTTGAGGTCTTACTGAATGCCTCAAACACAAAACATTCCCTCCTCCCTACCAACAACCATAAAAAATATTTTTAAAAATCAGCAAAATATTAACTCCAAAGCAGCTGAATCCACACTCCAGAGGAAAACCAGGATAGCAAGAAGAGATAAGGCTTATATAATGGCTGTTTACAACACCTAGCAGTTCCTTCCTTTTTCCTAAGGATATCACAAGCTCTTCCCTGTTTCCAAGATATACTGTTCTACATCAATTATGAGATAATTGCCACATCTCTCCCTTCCCCAAACAAGAGGTATCAGATCTAGTTCAAATCATGCTTTCTAAAACTCTGAATTTATTTTAGATAACCTATGTTTTGATAATACACAAATGCTTCCTCTTTATACAGTGAGATTTCTCCTGGCTCAATAGCCTTTCCATTTACCATTCATTTTTCTATTAAGAAACTATTTTATTGAAATCCAAGAAACAATGTGTGTAACAAGGTTGTATCATATTTTGATGGACGAGGAGAAGGCAAAGAGCAGGCAGAAGAATGAGAGTTTTCCTAGGATCCAAACATAAACACCTGGCTCTAGTTTCTTTTAAAATAAACTTGGAAAGAGGAGTAAACTCTGGATAACCAAACATGACTGCGTAACTGCATTTGGGCATAAGCTGGGTTTTATTTAGTTGCCATGATTCAGGAAGGGCTGTTTAAGCCATGCTTTGAAGGCTACTGAAAATAAAAATGATTATACTTCCCCTCCATGTCTCAAGATTTAAAAAATCTGTTTCTTCTTCCATCAGAAGCTAGATTTGAAGGGCGAATTCTGAAGGCACACTTACAGTTCGCTCAGGCTAGAAGTGACTGGAAGAGCTCCTTTTGATTTGCAAATACTCCTCACCCCAACCAGGGTCCCACCCTACCACCTCCCACCAGAGCACAGAAAACCCCTGTAATAATTCCTCGCCGGGTACGGGAGGCAGGGAGAGAGGATAAGCCCCACAAGAACACGCATCTTACAGGACACACCTGCGACGGCCTCGAGGTTCCAGCGCCCCGGAGCGCGCGGCTGTCCTCACGCGGCGACGGCGCACGCCCCCGCACGCCCCGCCCACCCCACCGAGGCGTCGGCCCCGGCCCCGGCCCCGGCCCCGCCCCCTCCCGAGCGCTCCCGACCACCCACGTGGTTCTTGGGACGGCCAGGCCCAGTCGGACCTTGTGTCCAGCGTTACGGCCGTGCCCCTCCCCAGGCTCCCGGAACTGTGTGGCCGCCTGAAAGGCCGAAGAGAGCGCCCCAAACGGGACCCCCGTAGCAAATCTCAGAGAGTACATTTCGCAGGAGCGACGAAGACAGAGTGAAGGCTCCTGATCCTGGGTATGGGTGCTGGGGAGATTCACTCTTGGAGACTGGAACAATTTCGCTCCTCGTTCTAAACCAAGTGCTTGTTTTTCTCTTGCTCGTAACAGCCACTCTAAGGGAGTCGACTCTAAGTAGTTGAGGTAGAAGTAAACAGATTAAAGTCTGTGTTGGCGGGCTGGGGAAGAGGGCGATTATGGGCTTCAAAGAAAGGAAATACCAGGGTGTTTCAGAATGGGTTATCTGGAGTGTTAAAAAGGAGGTGGTGTTATTGTCCTTTCAGGGAAACAAATGAGAAGTCCAGAGAATCTGTTCAGGAAATGCAAGTTTAGTGATGGTGTGGAGGGTCAGCAAGGGACAGATGAGAAGGCACCCCCACCCCCCAAACATACACACACCAGCGTGGGCTGTATGACCCTCTCCTCACTTTTAGACTAGGGCAGGGGGGAGAAGAAAGTGGGGACCAATAAAGACCACCTGATATTCTTCATCTCCCCCACCCCAGGCTGTGACTGCACTTTATAATGGTATCTACTTATCTGCAAGCTATGCCAACTGAGGACGAGAAGCCAGTTTTTAAAAATATATTTAACATCACCTCGTTTAGCCTCTTTAGCCATAGTAATGCTGTATGGATTAATTTTCCCACTTTAGTACTGGAGACAAATTGTATAATTCAAGTGTGATTCTTCCACCTATTTTCAATTAAAATTCTTGGCACTTCCCAAGAGGTGGGTGGAGAAAAAAGGTGGGAATGTTTGGTAATCAACCCCTCCCTGAGCCCACCCAGCATTCTTCCCACAAACCCTTTCTCACACATGGTTTCAGCGTGGCTCCACTGCACCTGGAGCACCTCCAAGCAGCTGCAACCACCTGCCTCACTCAGTTCCCACCACTTTTCCCGGTGCCTGAACCGGCAGTACAAACACTGGCATCGGCCTCCAGGGCTGTCAAAAGGCCATGGAAAATTGCAAAAGTAACTAGCAGAGGGTAGCATGGGCTACTGCTCAAAGCCACCCCCAACTGGCTCAGAAATTATGCCCACTATTAGCCAGATCCGGCAAAGGGGGCACCTGCTGTGATACCTTTTTTCCCCTAAGGGTACTGTCTTATAAGGTCCATAGCTATTTACAGGCAGAGCTTCATAGCTTTCCCAACCACGGTGAGGCTGGAGCTGGAGTGGGGAGAAAATGGGGAGTGAGTTGATTCTGAGTGACTCTTGGTAGAAGCGGAGGTGACTGTAATGTGTGCATCCATCCTCGTGGGTAAGGAGGTTCGTAGAGACCTAAGCTAGAGGTACAGAAAATTTCCTAAGAGCTGAAAGAAACCCTTGCGTTAAGGAACTTCTTGCCTGTGAAAGCCGGGCCTACCTTGTTCCTCAATAACGTCATTTCCTTACAACTTTGACTATTAACCTTCATGGAGCATAGAGCACCTTAGTTTGGAAGCAGTCTTAGCTTTGCCCCTCTCTAGCAGGTGACCTTAGGCAAGGTATCCGACTTAACCTGAGTTTTCATTCCTTTACCTGTAAAATAAACTTGCCTTTCAGAGGGTAGTAGAATTCAATGGGGTATAATGTACCAAAGTGCCAAGGGTGAGAATTTAGGAGGGCAATGAAACCTGTCTTAAGGTCTTCCCTTCCCCACACATATCCGCAAAAGAACTGATCGTAGTACAGAACGTAATATTCCTATTCCATTGGTAGTCTTTGTAGACCGCAACCCTCCTGGCATGAACAGCCTCATTAGTCATTAGCAACCTGAATCAGTCTAGGCGGCTTTGCTTGGCTTCCAATAGAGCATAACGGGTTGAATGCTTGCGTGGAGAAGGAAGACCTTCAGCTCTAAAGGACTCAGGGTCCATGAATTGCCCCCTAGGAAGTTAAATGCTGGCACCCCTCCTTCCTTTCCCTTTGTCTGGAACCTGAGTTATGTCAAATGGTTATGAAAACTATAGAAATGGAAAAAAAAGTATTTTTTCTTAATCTTGTTTGTTCTGTGAGAGCAACCCTGATGACCTTAACAATTCAAGAAGGCTAGACATCTCGAGGACATCTCGAGTACTGATTTAGTTTCATCACCTGATAATGGCACAGTTGTTTTGCCAGTGGGACATGAACAGTTGTGTTCTCTTGGCTTTGGTTGTGGTGATTAAAGTCCTCAAAATGTCCTCCAGGAAAGGGAAATTTCTAAATGTCCTCATTGAGAAATGAACTAGCCTAGAGGAAATACTTTTCATAGGTCATTCCCCAGGATTATTTTACTTGAGTTTTCCACACCTGAAAGTATTTCCTTGTAGTTTTTTCCACTAAAGTGTTAAAGGTTTTGTTGAATATGCCCTCCTTTTAAGACACCAGAAAATTTAAATGTCTCAGCAGAGTTTCCAAATCATGATCTTAATATGAGTCCCAAAGAAAATGTTTTATGAAAAAAATGAAAGTTGTCCATTCATCAGTAGGAGCTTTCTCTCTGAGGTAAGTCTGAGTCATATTTCAGGCCTGTATCATTTGAGGCTGTGCAGATCATCATGTCAGTCATTCTAAATTTTGAACTTGTGTCATATATTCTCATTTCTGAAGAAGTGTCCCAAAGTGTGCAGCTCTCAGCACTATGAGAAAAAGATGTGTCTGATACGCCTTCTAATGGATGAAAGTAAGACAGAGTTGCCAGCTCTGGGTTGATGGAGTATTGACTCTCACATTTTTTAGAACTGAAAAAGAAAACAAGAATTATTTTAAATTATGTGCATTTGCAATTCAACTTAGAAAAGCATCATGAAAATTAAAATATATGCATTCTGTCCAATGTATTGGTTACTTGGTATAACACTATATAAATGAATGAAAAATGTTAGCCCTAAGCAGATGTGCTGTCTAGAGTTCAAAGCCTTTCTGTTCCAAGGCTATAAAAAAAAGGCTGCATACCTAGATTCTCTACATCCTTTCCAATTTAATAGGGTTATTTCTATCTCTAGATGACTATTTTAATATTGCGGAAAAGTTCAAGTAAGATAGTCCCTGAGAGAAAGCCTTTCGGAAGAGAGGAAATGGAGCCAAACTGAATACCTTATAAATAAATTCAGGTGTCATATTTTCCCACCAATCTACTAAAAAAGAGGAGGGTGAGAGCTCCACACCACGCATTTTAAAGACTTCGGAGGTCTGTAGATTTACCTTATTGTCTTCAGTTTGTACAGCACGGCACTACAGATTGCCAAGAGGAGAACAAAAAGGAAAAGGTTCATCAACGAGACACCCAGCATTAATTTTAACTTGAGGGCCTGTAGTGTTGACAGGCTGTCACTTGTACCACTCAAATCAGAGCCTAAGAGGAAAAGAAAGAAAATGCAATGGAAAAGATGCTCAGCATGCTTTCCTGGAGAAGACTGCAAAGCAACTGAAGAGAAGCCTTCATTACCCAGAGCATTCATTCACTGCTCACTCCCCAGTACCCTCGCGCCATGCCAAAGTGGCTATGGACTACTCCCAGTTGCCAAATACTCTAAGCTTTTCCCATCTGACTTGCATGGCAATCCTGGGGAATCTGTCCTTAGCTTCATTTTACAGGACCACAGAACTTAATGAATTTGCCCAAGGGACATAGCTAATAAGTGGCAAAATCTGGTTTCAAACCCAGGTTACTGAATGTTAAATGTGTACGGAGCAGACCTCCTCCCTGACTAATAAAAACCAGTTCAAGACTCCAATGGGATTACTATTAAAAATATGATAAACTTAATGTGCAAAAGGTTAGTTCTTCAGGAAAGATGCAGTCCTACTGTTGGACATGCACTGACTTTTATTTTAAGCTAAAGGATGGTGTGTCTTTCTTTTAAGCAAAAAAGATGCTTCTTTCACGAGGCTTAAGAACTGAATTTGCCATTTTATTATTGAAATCAAACCTAGTGTCCTTGATGTTAAAAAAAGAAATTGAAACTTATTTAATTTCCTAAAATAAGTTATATAATAAAACTCATGTCCAGATCTAAAAATGTCAAGTCTTTTTAACTAAATCTATTAATGAAAGTATCTTTACTACCAAATTTTATGTTTTTCAAAATTTGTGTCTGACTCAATAGACTTTTGATGGTGACTTTAATGACCATGTTAGTATTTCTTCCCTATCCCCCAACTTCTTCACACCCAAAAATTCCAATGGTTTTCATTATTTTCTAGGTAATGTTTTGGTAATAAGCAATAACAAGGCCACATTTCTATAGTCTCTGATATTTAAAAATTGTAGCTATCAAAGTGCAATCTTAGACCAAGTCAAGTGAAATGTGTATAGTTGTCAGTAACTGATATCTCGACTTTGAGGCAGGTTATTTTAGTATTTTTGTAAAATGCGATGTGCTCCTGAATTACTTTGCTACTTCTTAAAAGAGTTTTTGAAAAGAAGCATGTTTTGTAAGTACATTTTATCAATGCACTGGGCAAAATTAGAAGGGTTTGGAGTTCCTAACCACTGGAAATTATGGAAGAGCTCATTAAAAATTTGGACAGGTTTTCTAAGTCTCAGTTCCCTTATCTGTAAAATGGAGATAATAACTGACTTCATGGAGTTACCATGAGGACTCACATAATGTATGTAAAGTACTAGGCATGTAGTATATGCTCAATATGTGATAGAAAATCAATCATGCTCACTGGAATTACTTGAAAAGACAAAATATTTCTACAGTGACCCAGCATTTGTCACTCCTACATATAACTTTTCTGAACAGAGAATAATTGCTCTATTCTCTTGAAGCACTGCAAGGCAAGTAGCTGTACTTGTCAACGAATCCCTTGCAGAATAGAGGTGACGGGCTTTAGATGTATTACTGGATGTTATTTCTTTTTCAATAGTTTATTTGTAGGATAGAGGTTTGGGAGAAATTAATATATTGCCTTGTCATGAAATTTTCCATTTAATCCAGTTGTTACTCATACAAATATAACTAATCCATTAATGAAAACTATTGCATTCAGCAGTAGGACTTAACTCATTTCATTACTGGTGGAATGCAAAATGGCATAGGCACTTTGGAGGACAGTTTGGTGGATTCTTAAAAAGCTAATCATAGTCTGCAATCATGATCTATTTCAACCCAAATGAGTTGAAAACTTATGTCCACAGAAAAACCTACACATTATAGCAGCTTTATTCATTACTGCCAAAAATTGGAAGCAATCAAGGTACCCTTCAATAGGGGAGCAAATAAACTGGTCGATCTATATAATGGAATATTTATTCAGTGAAGAAATGAACTACCAAGGCATGAAAAGATGGAGGAACCTTAAATGCATATTGCTAAGTGAAAGAAGCCACTCTGAAAAGGCTACAAACTGTGTGTTTCCAACTATATGACATTCTGGGAAAGGTAAAACTGGAGAAAGTAAAAAGATCAATAGAAGTTACAGAACAGGAAGATGGAACTACTCATCTGCAATAAGGTTAACTGTAGAACAATGCTTAGGAAACATAACTTCCCTAAAACAGTAAATGTCCCCTCTGATATGATGGTAGCCATCATGCTACCTCCTCACATACACTACACCTCACTAGAGAAAACAGTATCACCATGCAGATACTAGAATGTCTGCCAGTATCTGTATATCCATTTAATTGAAGTATTGTTCTTACTTGGAATTGAGCGAAATAATTGATCTTTTCCTCCATCCACAGCTCCTGCCTCATTTAAAGCTGTTAAAACAATAAATTGGTGTTAGGGTAAAAAAAATTCACTTACTAAAATTATTGTCTGTGTGTGTGTATGTGTGTGTGTGTGTATATAATATAACAGTTCATTCTCATTCACGTAGTTATGTTTTATAAAGTTATGTGAACACTGAATTAGTGAACACTGACTTATTAATCATAGGGGAAATGGAAGGTTAGGTTCCTATGAGCCTCTGGTTATAACATTTCAGCAAACAATCAATACATAATGTTGTTTTATACATGTTTCTGTTTAAAGACACTTTAGTATATATTGCTAATCATTAACATTGAATTCATCATCAACTGTACTATAATTCACACCTAAACAAAACTTATCTAACACATACATTTTGTCCATAAGGTACATCACAGCTTTCTTGTGCTTAGGAGCACTAACTAGCATTTTAATACTACACTTGGGGCCATTTTAAGTAGCAAAATCACCAATTTTGCTGTCCTCAAAATGACATTTATTGGAGCTGAAAAAAGAAGGCAGAGTGCTGCCTTATTCTAGCTCAGTTAAGAATGTGAGAATTAAACCTCTTTGCTGCTCTGTGCATGTCCGCAAATGACTGCAAAAGTGCTGCAAGTATTGATTTGAGGGGTTACAAACAAATTTTAGATATAAATTCACAAATACAGAATCTGCAAATAATGATCAACTTAATATGGTATATATTTCACATTTATAAAATACATATATGTATGTGCTACATGACTTACATGTATACATGTGTGCATTGAGGTATGATAGAGATTATGTTTAAGCATACACATGTGATATGCACATTACATTTATATGTGCATGCTTACATATTTGTGATAAATACATTATCTTTGTGCATGCATATATTTTGACATGTGCTATGCATTCATGCATCTCCATGTGCCTATGTGCTTATTGTTACACACATAAAAGGGGACTATACTGGGCAAGAGCCTTATTTAAAATTTTTAATCATAAATAAATTGAATAAAATTTTGGGGGGAGAATCAAAATGTATAACGTGATCACTTCCTGTGTTTGTTTTGCATTTGTTACTACATGTGATGATATGGCTGCAAAATGGTGACTTATTAATCCCTAACATGAGAACTGTTTACACAGATCTGGCCTTCTTATACAAGACTTTAGAAAATTAAAATATTTTCCCAGGTACCTAACTCCTATGAGTTTACCTTCAGCTAATATTGTCCAAAATTCAGGCACATTTGGACCCTGGGTTGCCTCTGTTTAAAAAACAAAATAGAAGAGGATAACAAAATGAGGTAATGTGGTTTTAGTAAATTTGTGATAGACCTTTCATTCATATATTTGTTTATTTAGTCATTCAACAGTTATACCTTGAGCTCCTAGCATGTGCCAGACCCTGTAAAGTTACAGAGATGAGCAAGACCCAGGCCTTATGCTCAAGAAACACACTTTATTTTGGAGGCAGACAAGAATGACTGTTAATTATGATGCAGGATAATGAAGGCTTTAATAGAAACACACAGGTGATATGCACAGAGGCACCTGATTAAACTTGCAAAGGCTGGAAACCCTTTGAAAAAGAGTTGATGCTCCAGTATAGGCTTGAAGGCCTAGAAATTGTTTGCCAGGCAAATAAGGTTAGGGAGAGGTCATTCTGCTGTGAGAAAACTCAGAATCATGAGCAGGTTTGGTAATCTGAGAGCTTCATTTGGTCTGATGTGAAGAATGTGGATGAGGAATGTGACCAGAGATGAGACTTGAACAGTTCCTGAGTGGCCAGATTATTTCAGACTTGAATGCCTGGTTAAGAAGTAAGAACATGACCCCAAACCTAGCAGTAAATTACTCAAGATACTTAAGAAGGGGGATATCAGGATGACTAAATATTTTTATAAATACATTAAAGAAGTAGATAAGGTTTTAAAATATTATTTGTAGTCTTAAAGATGCAAACTTTTTCAGAGTAATCATATTAGGAACATACATGGACTTCATGAACTGGAGAAAATACGGTTTCATGTAATGACAGGTCCATTGTCTTCAATTAGACCACCTATTCAAGACCTTAGAGGAGAGCCATCCTGGGTTGCTATGTTTTCACAAATATTGTATAAGGAACAATATTCTTGGCAGGGAAGTAAAATGATGATTTTGCTTTTGCAACCTGTCATTCCCAAACCCCCCTACAAATAACCTTACAAAACACTGATAAATGATGCTAGGAAGGATGAGTTTATTCCTCAAGCAGGTCGAAATTTTTTATATTATTATAATTATATTAAAATGTATTAAGTATATTTATATGCTTAATATAAATATAAATGTAATACATTTTATTAAAATAAAATTGTATTTTAAGAGATCACTTTCTTTCCGTTGTCAGGTAAATCTGAAAAATGACTCTTAGATTTTCACCATTGAAAAGATTTTAGTGTGACTTTAAATTGTAGCAATACAAATTCTTTAAGCATGTTATTACTTTATGAAATACTCAGAGTAGCGAAACAAATTTTTAAGTCATATAATACACTCCAGGTATGACTACAGTCTAGTAACTTTAATACTTCGATTTCTTTTTTCAGTATTGTCTTCATTGAGGGCTTTTCCAGTAGGTAATGTAGTTGTTTCAGTGATGAGTTCATCTAGGAAATTAGATAATAGATTAACAGCATATAAAAATATTGACTCAATACTGTCATTAGGCATATTGTAAAATATGTTAACTCAACAACTCTGATTGCCTTCATAGTTTTAGGGACTAAATAATTGCTAATCAAACATCATTCTGTAGATTTCAATCTTGAGGGGCTTGCTCCTCTAGAATGTCCCCACTACGTCAGCCTATCTCCCTCTGTCAGAGCCCCATTTAAAATGGCAGCAATTTCTTATACTAATCCAATTTTCTTTAACAACCCTTTGGGGACCTGAATTGTGGGAATAGATGTTAGAGTTTTGGAATATCTTCCATGGGTCCTGTGGTCCTCAATAATCCCTCTCCTAAGAGAAGTTGACGTAGTACCTGGTCTGTTTAAGAGCTGGCTCTCTGTATCTTATCCCAAACAATTCAAGATGTTGTTTGCTGTGTACAAGAGAAATTCCCGTGAGTGATTTGTCTAATTAACATATGTCCTTGAGATGTCTCCATCTCATTTATGTCTCAAGGATTGAAATTGCTCGGAGTATTCCATTATTGGCAAGTAGTTTTATTAATAATTAGGCATTACTGAGTCTGGCTTTTCCAAGTATTGAAATTGCCATAGTCAGAAACATTCTCTTCCCTATTTCATTCTTGTTTCTTTGTCTTCTGTGTTATGCTTATGTGTTTCTTACAGATATAAGCTATTGACATTTCAAGGTGAAAGATGTGGTATATTTACTTTAGAGACTTTGAATGGCCTCCAAAGTCACATGTTGGCAAGAGTTTTAACTATTAAATTGTGGCTAGATGGTAGATAGATGCAGAAAGGAATAAAGAACACTTGAAGCTGAAGGTATAAAGCAGGAATAAAAATGTGGCTTCAAGAAAAACATGCACACCAAAAATAGGTGTTTAAGAAATCTAACAACCTTCTTGCCTTCTGAATGTATTAGTGCAATGGACACAGAGTCTCCTTATTTAGGAGCTAAGACTCCCTGACATTAGCTCCACTAAAATCATTTTCCCACCCAATAATGTCTAGTGTTTTGAAATCTTGCTTTCATATTTGTGATGGTGCCTTTCAGACTTACAGTTTCTTAGAACAAAATTCGAATCTGTTGTTGCTTTGACAGAGATTTCAGACTGGGTGCCATTCGGATTCTGTGTCATGAACGTATCTGAAAACATAAGATCAAAAGTTTTCAGTAGCCAGCTAAGTCATTTTTATTTTTCTACATTTTTCCTCATCTGAGTTTTCTCTTAAGACATATGTACAAATTCCAAGAAAAGAATAACAAAGTGTTTGAGAGATTCTTCATCTGTAAAATAAGGCAGCAGGGAACCTCAAATAAATTTATGGGGAACAAAATATCCAAACTGATATCCTTATGCTAAATGACTCTTTCTGAGAAGAAATTATTGATGAAATTATGGAAAAACATATGTTAGTACATAACAGGTATCAAAGTAGATTTGTAAATGTGTGATATTATCACTGTTTATATTGACTTTCAAAAAGTCAAGCAAGAAGCATTCATTTGCCCTTGAACCTTCTGTTAGACTATGGCACAGTTATGCTTAAAAAGCATATACTTCAGGCAGAAAGGATTAAAGATGGCAACATGAGAAGTGAGACAGAGGCCTCCTCCTAAAACCACATATAATATGAAAATATAATTAATACAACTAATCCTGAAAGAGCAACAGGAAAGAAGGTTGTGCCAGACTGCATACACCTGGAAAAAAGAACAGACCTCACCAAAAAGGGTAATGTACCAAAGCCATGACCCAGCAGGACCCAAGCCCTACTCCCACCCCAGCTCACAGGTAGGAGGAAGAGAAATGGAGCAGAGAGAGAGAGAGTGGAGGCCTGGGACTGCTGAACACCTAGCCATGGAGATCTGCTCTGGGAGCACAAAAATAAATTGCATGGTACTCTGGTGATTAGTGGGCTTGGAAAGCTAAGACAGGCAGAATACCTGGAGAGACTGAGATTTCAGATGCTTGTGGAAAACCAGGATCCATATCTGGCTGCTCTGGGACAAAAGAAAGGTGGGCAGTCTGAGAGACTTCCTAACAGCAAGAGGGCTGCTAAAGGGGCAAGGACTGCACAGAGCTTACTGCTCAGGGGAAAGGACAGGCAGACAAAATTGTCTGGGTGCACTCTGCCAAGCAGATTGGGAATTTTCAGGAGCTTCAGGTGCTCCATCCCCCTGGCTGTATACACAGCTCCAAGTTCCTCCATCATGATACGCAGCCTGCTGTGCCTTCTTCCCGGCCAGCACACCCCTGGCTCACAAACCAGCAGCCCCTGCCCTGATATCAGGCCAGCCAGAGGGAAGCCCCACCTACAGCAACTACGAATGCAAAGCATAGCAGCTTACACCTGTGTGTTTGGCACACTGGTTCTGGCAGTAGAGAAAAGCATAGCAGCCAGGAAGCAGGAAACAGCTCTTTCCTCCCCCCAGGCACCAGCATGGCTCCCCTGTGACCCTTGACATTGCTCCAGGGTCTGAGCAGGTCCAGAGAGTAGAGCTTCTGGGCACTAGAGGGTGCCACATAAAAATATGAAACATCAAAGGAAAGTGGTTCAAACCAAAATCCTACAAACACAAGAAAAAGAGTCAAATGAAACCAATCTCATCAATCTTCCTGAAAGATATTGCAAAATAAAAATTATAAACATGCTCATGGAGGTACAGAAAAATATTCAAGAACTCAGGAATGATTTCCAGTTGGAAATCCAATCATTGAGGAATACAATGTAGGATTTTAAAAGCAGATTAGGTATGTTGGAGGAGACAATCAATGAAATAGAAATTAGAGAAGAGGAATACAAAGAAGCTGAGGCACAGAGGAAAAAAAGGATCTCTAAGAATGAAAGAATATTGAGATAACTGTGTGACCAATCCAAATGGAACAATATTCATATTATAGGGCTACCAGAAGAAGGAGAGAGAGAGAAAGAGATAGAAAGTGTCTTTGAGGATGTAATTGCTGAAAACTCCCCCAATCTGGGGAAGGAGATAATCTCTCAGACCATGGTGGTACACAGATCTCTGAACACAAGAGAACCAAGGAGGACAACACCAAGACATACAATAATTAAAATGGCAAAGATCAAAGATAAGGACAGAATATTAAAAGTAGCCAAAGAGAGAAAAAAGATCACATACAAAGGAAAACCCATCAGACTTTCATCAGACTTCTCAGCAGAAACCTTACAGGCCAGAAAGGAGTAAAGTTTATACATGACATGATATATTTAAAGCAATGAAGCAGAAGGGCCTCAGACCAAGAAATACTTTATCAGGCAATATTATCATTTAAATTTGAAGGAGGTATTAAACATTTCCAGATAAGCAAAAGCTGAGTGAATTTACCTCCCACAAACCATCTGTACAGTGTATTTTGGAGGAACTTCCATAAAAGGAAGTGTTCCTAAGGCTAAACAACTGTCACTAGGGGTAATAAAATCACAGTAAAGAAAGTAAAACAGTTAAGTACTAAGCAAATTCAAAATTAAATCAACTACCCCCAAAGTCAGTCAAGGGATATACAAAGAGTACAGAATATGATACCTAATATATAAAGAATGGAGGAGGAAGAAAAAGGAGGAGAAAAAATAAAGAACCTTTAGATGTGTTTGTAATAGCATACTAAGTGACTTAAGTTCAACTGTTATATAGCAAGGAAGTTACCCTTGACCCTTTGGCAACCAGAAATTTAAAGCCTGCAGTGGCAATAAGTACATACCTAGTGATAATCACTCTAAATATAAATGCTATGAATGCACCAATCAGAAGACATAGAGTCACTGAATGGAAAAAAAACAAGACCCATCTATATGCTGCCTACAAGAGACTCACTTCAAACCCAAAGACATACACAGACCAAAAGTGAAGGGATGGAAAAAGATATTTCATGCAACTAATAGGGAGAAAAAAGCAGGAGTTGCAGTACTTGTAGCAGACAAAATAGACTTCAAAACAAAAAAAGTCACAAGAGACAAAGAAGGACATTACATAATGATAAACATGTCAATCCAACAAGAAGTATAACTATTATAAATATCTATGCACCCAATACAGGAGTACCTACATATGTGAAACAAATAGTAACAGAATTAAAAGGGGAAAGAGAATGTAATGCATTCATTCAAGGAGACTTCAACACTCCACTCACTCCAAAGGACAGATCAAGCAGTCCTTATTCTGGAATAATAAATAAATAAGGACACAGAGGCACTGAACAACACATTAGAACACATGGACCTAAAAGACATCTACAGAATTCTACCCCCAAAAGCAGCAGAATACACATTCTTCTCAAGTGCACATGGAACATTTTCAAGAATAGATCATATGCTAGGCCACAAAAAGAGCCTCAGTAAATTTAAAAAGATTGAAATTGTACCAACCAGCTACTCAGACCACAAAGATATGAAACTAGAAATAAATTATGCAAAAAAAATGAAAAATCCCACAAACACATGGAGGCTTCACAACATGCTCCTAAATAACTAATGGATTAATGAACAAATAAAAACAGAGATCAAACAATATATGAAGACAAATGACAATAATAATTCAACACCGCAAAATCTGTGGAATGCAGCAAAGGCCATGCTAAGAGGAAAGTATATTGCAACACAGGCCTACCTCAGGAAAGAAGAACAATCCCATATGAACAGTCTAAACTCACAATTAATGAAACCACAAAAAGAAGAACAAATGAGGCCCAAAGTCAGTAGAAGGAGAGACATAATAAAGATTACAGCAGAAATAAATAAAATCAAGAAGAATAAAACAATAGAAAGAATCAATGAAAGCAAAAGCTGGTTCTTTGAGAAAATAAACAAAATATATAAACCCCTAGCCAGACTTATCAAGAAAAAAAGAGTCTACACACATAATTAGAATTGAGAAAGGAAAAATCACTATGGATACCACAGAAATACAAAGAATTATTACAGAATACTATGAAAAATTACATGCTAACAAACTGAAAGACCTAGAAGAAATGGTCAACTTCCTAGAAAAATACAACCTTCCAAGGCTGACCCAGGAAGAAACAGAAAATCTAAACTTACCAATTACCAGCAACAAAATTGAACTGGTAATTAAAAAATGACCCAAGAACAAAATTCCTGGACCAGATGCCTTCACGGCTGAATTTTATCAGACATTTAGAGAAGACCCAATACCCATTCTCCTTAAAGTTTTCCAAAAAATAGAAGAGGAGGGAATATTTCCAAACTCATTCTATGAAGCCAGCATCATTCCAATACCAAAACTAGGCAAAGGTACCACAAAAAAAGAAAAGTACAGACCAATATCCCTGATGAACATAGATGCAAAAATACTTAACAAAATATTAGCACTCTGAATTAAAAAATACATCAAGAGGATCATACACCATGATCAAGTGAGATTCATCTCAGTGACGCAAGGATGGTACAACATTTGAAAACCCATCATCATCATCCACCACATCAACAAAAAGGATGACAAAAACCACATAATCATCTCCATAGAAGTGGAAAAAGCATTCACAAAATTCAGCATCCATTCATGACAAAAACTCTCAACAAAATGGGAATAGAGGGCAAGTACCTCAACATAATAAGGCCATATATGACAAACCCACAGCCAACATCATACTTAACAACTAGAAGCTGACAGTTTTTCCCCTAAAATTGGGAACAAGACAAGGGTGCCCACTCTCCCCGCTTTTATTCAAAATAGTTCTGGAGGTTCTAGCCATGGCAATCAGACAAAACAAAGAAATAAAAGGCATCCAGATAGCTAAGGAAAAAGCCCATGTGGCCCTGTTTGATATTGTACATAAAAAACCCTAAGAATCCACTCCAAAACTACTAGAACTAATATGTGAAATCAGCAAAGTTGCAGGATACAAAATTAATACACAGAAACCTGTTGCATTCCTATACACTAATGATGAACTAGCAGAAAGAGAAACCAGGAAAACAATTCCATTCACAATTGCATCAAAAAGAATAAAAAAGCTAGGAATAAACCTAACCAAGGAAGTGAAAGACCTATACCCTGAAAACTATAAGACACTGATGAGAGAAATTAAAGAAGATACCAGTAAATGTAAACACATCCCATGCTCATGGATAGGAAGAATTAATATTGTCAAAATGGCCATCCTGCCTAAAGCAATTTACAGATTCAATGCCATTCCTATAAAAATACCAACAGCATTCTTCAACAAACTAGAGAAAATCATTCTAAAATTCATATGGAACCACAAAAGACTCCAAATAGCCAAAGCAATCCTGAGAAGGAAGAATAAAGCTGGGGAGATAATGCTCCCCAACTTCAACCTCTACCATAAAGCCACAGTAATCAAGACAATTTGGTACTGGCACAAGAACAGACCCATAGACCAATGGAACAGATATAAACCCAATCATATATGGTCAATTAATATGTGATAAAGGAGCTGTGGGCATACAATGGGGAAATGACAGCCTCTTCAACAACTTATGTTGGCAAAACTGGACAGCTACATGCAAGAGAATGAAACTCGATTATTGTTTAACTCTATACACGAAAGTAAACTCAAAATGGATCAAAGATCTGAATGTAAGTCATGAAACTATACAACTCTTAGAAGACAACATCTCCTGAATATAAACATGAGCAACTTCTTCCTGAATGCATCTCCTCAAGCAAGGGAAACAAAAGCAAAAATGAACAAATGGGACTACATCAAACTAAAAAGCTCCTGTAGACAAAAGACACCATCAAAAGAACAAAAAGTCATCCTAAAGTATGGGAGAATATATTTTTAAATGACATATCTAATAAGGGGTTAACATCCAAAATATATAAAGAACTCATACTCCCAACACTCAAAAAGCAAATAACCCGATTAAAAAATGGGCGGGGATATGAAGAAACAGTTCTCCAAAGAAGAAATTCATATGGCCAACAGGCACATGAAAATATGCTCCACATCACTAATTATCAAGGAAATGCAAATTAAAACCACAATGAGATATCACCTCACACCACTTAGGATGACCAGCATCGAAAAGACTAAGAACAACAAATGCTGGCGAAGATGTGGAGAAAGGGGAACCCTCCTACACTGGTGGTTGGAATGTAAGCTGGTTCAACCATTGTGGAAAGTGGTATGGAGGTTCCTCCAAAAACTAAAAATAGAAATACCATTTGACCCAGGAATTCCACTCCTAGGATTTTACCCAAAGAATACAAGTTCTCAGATTCAAAAAGACATGCACCCCTATGTTTATTACAGCACTATTTACAATAGCCAAGATATGAAAGTGACCTAAGTGTCCATTAGTAGAGGAATGGATAAAGAAGATGTGGTACATATACACAATGGACTACTATTCAGCCATAAGAAACAAACAAATCCTACCATTTGCAACAACATGGATGACAGTGGAGGATATTATGCTCAGTGAAATAAGCCAGGTGGAGAAAGACAAGTGCCAAATGATTTCCCTCATTTGTGGAGTATATCAATGAAGCAAAACTGAAGGAACAAAACAGCAGCAGACTCACAGAATCCATGAAGGGATTAGCAGTCACCAAAGGGGAGGGGTATGGGAGGGTAGTGGAGAGGGAGAGAAGGGGATTGAGGGGTATTATGTACACATGGGGTCAGGAGGTCACAGGGAAGACAGTGTCACAGAGAAGACAAGTAGTGACTCTATAGCATTTTACTACATAGATGGACTGTGACTGCAGTGGGATATGGGAAGAACTCGATAATATGGGTAAATGTAGTAACCACATTGTTTTTTCATGTGAAACGTTTATAAGAGTGTATATCAATAATGCCTTAATAAAAAAAGCATATACTTCAGTAATCATCAAGGAGTCCCATATACATGCACATTTACATATGCACATTAAGAATGGTGGGATTGGTTGTAATTCAAATCTAAGGCACATATACACCTAACCAGAGTCTAAGTAAATTGGATCAAGATGGCAGACTGAACATATGAATACATCTTCTCTTTCCAAAATCTTATGAATGACAGAAAATTTTATACACACATGAATGTGTATATGTGTTTAATACCTACATATATATTCATTCTCCTTAGTGCACACACACTCAGACACACACACACACACACACACAGTGCCATTAATGCATCAGAATTTTTTAGGAATTTCTGAGCTAGATCTATGAAGATAAAAAAAAAGGAAATCATAGCCAGACATTCTTATTATGAGTTATAAAGTTATAAAAATTAAAACAGTGTGGTATTTTTTCAGGAAAAGACATCAAAGAAATAATAAAAAGATAGGAATTGACCCATTTTCAAATTAGAATTTAGATGATATTAAATGTCAATTTCTCATCAGTCGGGAATTAGTTTAGATATTTGGTGGTTCTCCCTGGAAATATTGTTGTATGCCTATTTTATATCATATACAAAAATAATTGAATTTAAGACCTAGGGGTTAAAAACAAAAATATGGAATTATTTGAAAAAATTAGAAAAATAATTTAATATATTAGAATGGATAAGGCCTTTCTAAGTAAGATACAAAATGAGGAAATTATAAAGGAATACATCAAAAACTGATTTTATAAAATTTAAATTTTTCACTGTGATTAAGATACCTAAAGAAGTTTTAACAGCCTGACAGAAAATACTTGATACTTTTAACATAGAGAAAACCCCTATATACTAAATATAAGGAGTCCCTACAAATAAACAAAAATACAATCTAATAAAAAATGGACCAAGGATATGAATAGGGAAATCACAAAAGTAGAAATAAAAATGTCCAATAAATACCAAGAAAAATACTCAACTTCACAATAAGAGTGCACATTAAAATAGTAATGAAAATTTCACACATATTCACAAAATATGACCAACAACATTTATTGTAGATGAAACTGTGGAGCATTCTTGGGGGGCTGAAAATTGGTAGGTACTTTTTGGAGGGCTATTTGGTGGTACCTGTCAATATTTTAAAAGATATACTCTCTACTCATCAATTCCAGTACTTGGTGTCTATCCAAGGAGAAATACACCCATGTGTAGGGAGAAGAATGCACAAGAGAAACCCGCACGTAACGTGCGTCTATAAGAAGGAAGTGGGTAAGTTATGGAACACTATTTTATGAAATACTATGTAGCTATTAAAAATGAGGCAGATGTGAAAAGAGTTCCAGAGTAGATAAATGAGAAAAAAAAGTTGTAATACTATTATTTAGTATGATTCCATTTATGTTGTATCTGTGTGTATGCATGTGTGTGTAAGAAAGATTTTTTCTTTCATCAAAGTAATCATCAGGGTCTTCATTCATTTACCCTCTGATTAATTCAAAACAGAGGTACATCCTGCAAAAGAAACGATTGCACCATTTTGCTCACAGTAGCGGCAGCCTGGAGGTAAACAGATTAGATGCCCCTCCTGACTCTGCTCCTTGGGGGCTATGAAACGCGGCACTTGTCCTCTCTGGGCATCGGAGGGCTTTTTCGACCACAAAAGAGGGATATTGATTCATCAGAGAAAAAAACAGAAATATAACTTATGCATTATAATTAATTTTCATGTATATCTTGATTATATTTCTGTTTTTTCTTTGTTAAAGATCCCAGGATGATTAGATTTAATCTTACCTATTTATTTATTTTGTAACAAGAGTATCTTTAGACCTTTTCACTGCTTAGAATGGTAGATCTTACAAGGACATAAAAAGAAAGCCCATTAGGAATGGTGAATGAAGTTTAATAGACTTTCTGAATATCTCAAAGTCATCTTTTTATGGGCTGAATTTGATGCTCCCCCAAAAAGACATGTTGAAGCTCTAACTGCCCCAGTACCCTGCAGAAGGCAACCTAATTTGGAAATAGGGTCACTGAAGATGCAATTAGTTTAGATGGATAGGATTTGCTTCTAATCTGCTGTGAACAGTATCCTGCAAGAAGAGGGACAGTTGGACAAAAGAAGAATGCCACATGAAGGCAGAGGCAGAGACTGGAGTCCTGCTGCCACAAGCCCAGGAGGGCCTGGGGCTCCTGGAGCTGCCAGGGACAAGGAGAGAGCAGGGCACGGCCAAAGGCTGATTTTGGTTTCCTGGCCACAGAACTATGAAAGGATAAATTTCTGTTGCTTTGAACCACCTAGTACTTGGTTTCAGCAGCCCTGGGAAACTGATACGTACCCCCAGATAAATTTTGGCTTATGCACCATAGAATTAGGTCAATTGTTACTAATATGAATACAGAACCATAATGTCATGATGAACCCTATGGTAATGACAGTTACTGAGAGAACCCTGTTAAACATCATAACATCTCATGAAAAAAGTTGTAGGAGGAAATAAGAATTTCATTTTACACACTGAAACATAAATAAGACAAAGTAGGAAATACAATGATGAGTAAGGGTTTCAGGAGTTAAAATAGATCAACCCAGTACGATCAGCCTTTGTGTGTGTATTGCTATTAACCTTAAAGACTTACATTGTTTTATATCTTTAAAATGATCGGCATTTTTCTCATTAGCAGGAATGATATCCATACTGTTCTCATCCGGTTTATCTTCTGGTGCAGTTAGAGGGCTGTAGGTCTCTGGAAAAGCATGACACAGCCTAGATCAGAAATACGTTGATTTCTTGTACTACTTTCTTTTTCTAACTGCATTTCTTCCCAAAGGAATTGAGGCAGAGATTTAAAATCTACATTATACCATATTTCCATCAATAAACTTTATATCATTCTATAGAAAATTGCCACATACCAGTTTTCTAGGATAACGGGTCATCTTTCTTATCCGCTATTTCTGTGAAAGCTTTAATTGCTTACTCACCTTCATCAGAATTCATATCGCCAATGTCTGAGGAAAAAACCCCAGATACAAAAACAAACAATATCAAATTCATTGGGAACATGATGTGATTTATCCAGTAATCTGTCTCTCCTCAGGGTCTCCTTCCTGTCGCCCAGCAGGCCCTATGACTGACCAGGACATTGTGACATCATCACCGAATGGAGCTCAGAATGCCAGGAGGAGTTTCTTAAAGCTTTGTGACTCAGTCTGATCCCTATTTTATTGTAGGTGTTATGATGGTTTTTAGTTAAAAAATAAATAAAACATTATAATATTTTCTTTGAAAATTAGGAAATATGTTTTCATGAAACAATGTGAATTATTGTTCCCTGGATTGTAAAGAACCACTAATATTGGTGATTGTGAAATGAGAACAGACCTTTGTGATTTTCAAAGCATTCCAATATTGTATGTTTTTTTTGGATAAATGCAATTAAAAAGTATCTGTTAAAAATTAATGAGAGATACCAAGATTCAATCCAAACCCCCTGCAAGTTCTGGTTCATGGGCCATCTTCGCTATAATTCTCTAGCAAAAGTTTTTCAAAACTCATTTTTTTAGATTAAGACCTATATTCTTCAAGAAATATAAAATACTTGTTTGGCTTAAAACATTTTCATCAGTGAAGCCTATCTGTTACTTCATATACAGATTGAGAAAATTATCTAAAATTTAGTTAGTCAGAAGAGGACTTAGGTAGAGATAATATTATCCTTATGTTTCTCATGTAACTCATGTAATAGCAATAACAGCAGGGAATCAAATGGATGATATCATCAGTATTGTTTTTCATGATATTAAAGGATCACCTAACTTTCCCTCTCTCAATTTTAATTATTGTTGATGGATAGCCTCTCAGCATTAGAGAGCATTCCTAATTCAAATGACACAAGCATCAGGAAAGAAAGCATGAATTTTAAAAAGATATGAAGGTTTTTTTCAGTGAAATGAAGGTTCACAAATTAAATCTAACCTGTGGTCTCTACTGGGCATGCCTGATGAATTAGAGGGTGGTCGCACCAGGAGTGTGATTACACGAGAGGATGAGGGAGAGCAGGGGGACTTACTCTAAAGGAAAAGATGATCAGGATCAAGGCCTTGGTCAACAGAAGGGAGGTGTTCCTGTGCGCAGCACTGATGTTCTTTTAGGCCCTCCAGCCTAGTCTTACGTGAGTGCTAACCGGTGGGCAGGAAATGTGAGTAGAGAGCACTTGGCCAGCCTCGGAGCCCCTTACTTTGTATCTCTCTGGCAGGGTGCAACATAATACAAGAAGAGAAACCTGAAGCAAGCAGGGCCCAGGCTGCAAACCACTGCATAGCTTTGGGGGAGGTAGCTCAGCCCCAACGAAACTTGACAGAAGACAGAAGTTCCCAGGGTGAGAGGGCATCTGGTGGAGTTACCAGTTGTACCTAATGATACAGAGCAAGCAAGAACCAACTGGAGGCACATGTTTACTACAGTAGGCCCAATGTCTGGCACAACGTGTGGCCCATAAAGGGCACTTGAAAAAATGAGTGAAAAAAAGGCACTTCATTTAGTTCAGGAAGCACTTAGTGTCAAAAGTCAACTAAGTGTTTTCTGATGACACAGATAAAACATTTTCTTTGTTTGTTGCTTTATCACATATCCTGCTTATTTTCTGACATGACAAACCCTTTCTACAGGTGGTTGAATTGATACAGAGCATATATATGGGAGATTTTTTTGAAAATATTAAATTTTGCGAAACTATGCTTGTTTAAAAATTGATTCTAATTTCCCTTTGTCCCATGATCAGGACCCTTTCTGGAACATATCACTAGGTGTTATGGGTCGAATTGTGTCCCTACCAAATTCATGTGTTGAATCCTAATCCCTGAAACTCAGACTGTCACCGTGTCTGGAGATGGGGTCATGGCAGACGTAATTAGTTAAAAAGAAGTCATACTGATGTAGTGTGGACCCATACTGTGATTGGTAATTGGTAACTCTTATAAATAAGGGAGAGTAAATAAGGGAGAGTTGGACACTGACACACACACGGGGAACATGCTGTGTGAAGCGGCAGGCAGAGATGGGGATGATGCAGCAGAAATTAAGGAACACCAAATATTGTCAGCAGAACACCAAAAGCTAAGGGAAAGGGAGAGGCCCTCACAGTTCTCAGAAGACCCAGCCCTGCTGACATCTTGGTCTTGGACTTCTAGACTCCAGAACTGTGAGTCAACGGATTTCTGCTGCTTAAGCCACTCAAGTCTGTGGCGCTTTGTTACAGCAGTCCTGGCAAACTAATATGAAATAAACCCTTTGGTTCTTGGGACGAGATTATGCAAACTGAAATTGAATGTGTCCTCCCTTCATGTCATCATCATTTTAGGCTGTAGTGAACCTTTCCATAAATGTAAATACTCTATTTGCTCAATACAGTAGAAACTTTTCTTTAAAAAGGTGTATATTTATTTTCTATGTATTTTAAGTCTTTAAGGGATGCCCTCAGAATCCATTGCTCATTCCAAGAATGTCATTAGATATACTTTATAATCTATGATTTTATTTTATTTCCTGAATAGTTTCATGTTTTTTGACTATGTCTGGATTACAAGCTTCTCTCTAATTTAGTGAGTATTCATAACTCTGTTTGAGGAGGAAGCACTTATCCTATTATCTAGTATTTAGAGTTTTTTTTCCAATTTTCCTTATAAACATTGAAGTAATAAACATATTTATGACTAAATATTTTTCAGCATGTATGGTTATTTCATTTAGATAGTTTCTTAAAAATGCAATTTCTGCCTTGAAACATATGAACACTTTCCAGGCTCTTGCTACTCATTGTTCCATGCTCGTCTTGGGCTTTCCCTGCCCCAGCCCTGGAACCAACCATCTCTCCCAGAATTCCTGATTCCTTTTAGTAGAAAATAGTATTCATATGCCAAGATCTGGACACTACATGTGTTCATTGAATTGGAGTGTCACCATTGTCAGGTCCTCTCAGGGGACAGAGAGAGGGAATATATTGCATGCCTAGGTGATTTGGGAACTAAATTGGGCATGCTGGCAAAAGGTCATCCTAGTGAAATCTCACTGGCGGAGGGGGGGCATGCTATAGACCTGGTAGGATGGTGCTCTCCCAGTCCCATCAATGGAAGAAAGAGAAACTGGAAATGGACACCTGTAGATGGCTCTTAACCTGCTCACTCTGTTTCCAGTCCATAAAATCCAAAGCTCTGAGGATGAGTGGAAGGACTGTTGGCCGTTCTTTCTAACCTGGGAAAAGTCTGATGTGGGGCTTTCCTGATGAGAGGAGTTTAGTTCACATGGTGGGGTGGGCGGCCAGTGAAGTGGCAGAGGGGCATGGGGAGAGGAAAGGGCATGATCAGGCCTGGTATTTAGAAAGAATGGTCTGATTGTAGCTTGTACAAAGTGGATGGTGGGAGAGACCCTGGGGTCAGAGAGAGCCATGCAGGTTTTGTCGAGCCCTGGGCTTGAGGAAGGCAAGCCTAAGAAAGAGCAGAGGCCGTGGAAACAGAGGAAGAGGAGCCTCTTTGGCATTGAGGCTAATTTTCTAAGAAGAGTTTGGACAAATCTTTCCCCTAAATTAATGGAACTTACTTGCTATTTTGTCTTTCCATAATCTCATTAAAATAAGGAGTCTGCCCTTCAGGACAGTCCTTCTAAGAATGGTGAAGAAAACAATACAATTTATTTTCCACTTTTTCTGAATAAGAGCTTTTTTTCTTCGGCTGCTGGACGGACCTGTGTGTTCTGACAAGCTCTCCACTGGCAACAGCTGCTTCCTCCATTCTGTATTCAGGGATCGGCTGTACCTGAACTCTAGACATCTTTGTGTCCACTGCTCCCCCATGTGGCCCTGATGCAAATCACATCTTGACCAGACATACCTGGTACAAGACTGGATGCTGAAGATTTGTACATACATGGGCAAAATTATTCTTCTCAAATGGCTTCCAAACCTAGGGATGAGAAAAAGCAAAGACAGATGACTGCACCTAGCTCAAAGCAAGGCACCTGAGGTTTTCGTACTGCCGCGCCGTGAAATCCATGTAACTACGGTGTTTACAAGGTTACTATGTTGAATAAGAGCCTATTAAGAGTGCTCAGCACAGTATGGATGCAAATATCAACTGAATCAGATTGGACTTACCTATGTGTTTTCAAGTCTTGCAAATTCCTACTGCCAAATCTGAGAAGAAAATATTTACTTTACTCTTTTCAGTATGGAAGACTAAGTCTGGTTGGGACAGAAACTTGTGGGGTGTTTGGAACGTGTGACCCACCTGAATCAAAAAGGCAGGTGCTTCCTGTACCCGATGGCAGTCATCACGTGGTTCAGTCTGAGCCCCTGTCGTCCTCTTTCTTCTCTGGGCAGGGCCCTGGTGAGCAACGTCTGCAGCAGGAGCAATAAGCGCACATTTCCTCCCCTTTGACATGTCAATTTGACTATCTTGACATTCAGTGGCATTTTTCGCCTCACTCCCCTTCCCACACTGTGAAGGAAACCTTCATTTCACCTGTGTAACTTCTCATCCCTGCTTCCCGGGTTCCTCAGGGCTCTTAGGGAGCAATTTATTTTATGATCCTTATGGTATAAGAAGCTTTGTCACCAGGGTAGCAAGTGAACAATCTAAAAAGAGGAACAACTTTATAATAAAGTGTGTGTGTTGGAGGGGTTTAACAGTGGTCAAGAACAGGAGCTCTGGCGACAGACTACGGGGGTTCAAATGCCAACTCCAGCACTAACCATCTGACCTTGAACAAGAGTCTTACTCCTAATCCTCAATTTCCTCACCTGTAGAATGAGGTAACAATGGAATCTACTTCACAGGGTAGTGGTGAGGACTGATTCAGACAATCCAAGTAAAATGCTTGGCATGATGCCCTGCACATGTGAGAGTGACACTGCCCCGCTGGAGCTCATCAGTGCTCCCAGCATGCAAAGGCACAGCCTCCCCGTCTGCAGCAGATTACAGAACGCCTGTCACCAGTGCTTCCCT